ATTGTCTTAGTTGCAGGCTTTTGGCAACGTGCAACTTAACTTTATAACCTGTGCTCTGCTTTTTAAACTTTTTTTTTTACTTAATTAGAAAGAAAACATCCGTTGTGGGAGCCAAGTGGGACTGCTGCAGAACCTCTATTCACTAGTACTTTAATCCCTGCTTTCCTTTCACTGCATAGAAACCCCTGCCCTATTCTCTGGAAATGTTTGTATTTGTACATGAGCACAGGCGGCTGTAGAATTGCTTAATGAGCAGACTTGTTAGATTGGTTTCATTTAGCTCTGGATAGTTTGGGTTGTAGGACTGGACTTGAACAAAACCTGCTTTTGTACTGAGAAATGTGGATGACCTTTTTCTGGACAAATGTCAACCATTATTTTTTTTTGCTACACGACATCTTCAGAAATAATAGTGCCCCTTAAGTGGCTTGTGGAAGGTTGAAAGCACTGATGAGAGTATCCCTTTCATCTGCATACTGTGTTACTGTGTTCTTACCCTTACTTAAGATCAGCAGAGAAGTTTACCATTCTGTTTTCAGATCACTGAAATGCTCAGCTCAAGCCAGTAAGACTTACTGCCCTTCAAGAGCTTGTGGCATTGTTACAACTAACTACTCAGCTTACGGACATGACGGTTATCTTCCCTTTTTGCAAGTCCACTGTACAAACTAGTTATGGCTCTGGGAAATATTATTGCCTTTTATATCCCCATCAAGAGTCACGGTGCTTGTGAAGAATGCAGAAGTGCTGAATAACGAACTGTCTGCTTTGTTAGTGAATATAAAATAAGGCCACGAGGTGCAATACCCACAGGGCAGTGATACATGTGTTGGAAGTGACGGTGAAGTAGATGGTCCTGTTCATGCTAACATCAGATTTGATAGCCTGCAAGAACTTTCTGTGTGGCTGCTGTTGTTTGGACAAACGATATCTTGCTCTTTGTAATAGTGTATCACCTCACTAAAGATAAAATTGGATCTTTAGTGTGGGAATAAAAGAAATCAGCATAGGCTTGAGTCTTTACTGCGAGATGTTGTTCTGTTGGGTGTTGTGCCATCGGGTTACCCACCCACTTACTTGTCTACGTGGAAGGTATTATTATCTCTTACTTGATAGATCAAATTGTCTTTTTAAAGGCAATTGCCTGAGGCTCTTGCAAATGCTGGGTTGCATGTAATTCCTGCAAATGAAAGCATTGGCAGTTCTACCAAATAACAAAAGGAAATGAGGAGGGAGCAGGAAATAAAACTGTTCGGAATTGTGTATAAAATCCATTCTTTACTAATCTTGTTTAAAACTTTATCATGAGACATAGAAATATATCACTTCTTTATCTTTTTTTTTTCTTTCCTTTCTTCCTAAAGTGAATAGCTAACCCCTTTTTGCCACCTCTGGTCTTCACTGCTATCCTGTTTGTTCCTCTCTTATTGATTTGCTGCTCCCTGGTGTTTTGGTGGAATTTTCTAACTTTGTATTGCCATCAGGTTTCATTAGTATATGACTACTTTTCTGTTCCAGGATCATTTATGAAAGTAATAAGTAAAATTGATGCAGAGGCCAGCCATTAAGAAAGTGCAGTCGTAATCTCCTTTTCGGTCCAATGATTATCCTTTCAAACGCGATTCATAATCTTTCCTTAATGAATTGTTTACCCGCCTTGGTTCTTGTACTGATTGCCCCTCTTCTTAACTTAAAAAGTACCATATGGGGAAACTATGTATTATAAAGTGCTAAAAAGTATCAGAGAGGGAGCATGCTTTTTGATGATGTTATGATAAAACAAAACATATGCACTTTGTTCACAAATTCGGGTAACTTTAAAACGAAGGTATCGTAATTACATTGGGGATAAAACAAGGGTGCTGCACACTGACTGCGCAGTTAACTTTGGCTGTGGAAGACCGAAACCTTGAATTCTAGACCCGTTCTCCATCCACTGTTCTACTTCCTTTAGGATGTATGTAATAATAATTCAATGATACTATAGGTATTCAAGCATTTTCCACACTTTTACACTGTATTCTTTATTGTGCTCTTGCTTTTCCTTCAAATAGAACACTGTTTTAAAATTTGGCTTTTTCTGTTTTCCTGTTGCATTGACAAGCCATCTTTCTTGTACTCCCTTCTCTTTTCCCATCCAAAGTCCAGGCAAATGGCAAGTTACCAGAAGTTCATATTGACTGTGACGCTGGTATTGAAGCTGTGCCAGGTGGGCCTAGAAAATTAGAACAGGAGCTCGCTGAGTGTTGAACCAGCTCTTCAGCAATAGTCGTTTTGATTGTGAAAGCCGAAATGAACTGCAGAATTCCTGATGTCCTTTGTGCCGAAAGCTATTTCTGCCCTTCGTGTGTTTTAAACAGCTGCGTGCTCGGCACAGGAGGCTCTGCATAGGAGCGATGCTGAAAGCTGGAATTGTTCGGGACAGGCAGAAATATTGACCTGTGTGTTTATGGGGTTGCATGATTATCTGGAATGAAATTTCCTTTTCTGCGTGAAACTTGTAAGGGTGATTGTAAGACTTTATTTTATTTTTTTTTCATATTTAGACTGTAGAAAGGGGAGACCCCAGGAAAACAATCAACATCTGTTAAGTAATCCAGCTCATCTCTTGTGCTAACGTGACGTCACCTGTGATTTTTGCGGTTGCTAGGCTACTCCAGCTGCTCTGGACTTGCATAGCAAAGCCTCCTCGGCTTTAAAGGGGGATGCGAGTAAAATAGAGTGGTATAGGTTATACTTTATGTGTGATTGCTTTCTTAATGCTTCTAAGTGTCATTACTCCCTCCTCTTTTTGGCATAGAAGTGTTTTTCAGAATCCTTGCAAATAAAATCCTTCTTTTGGTAGAGGCTAAAAAATCAACATGGCAACTTGTTAATTCAGAGCTGAATCCTAGTGCTATGTATCATTTATGTTTTGATCAAGGGAAAAACAGTTTGGAGGAGATGAAAAGGGAGATGACTGCAGGGCTTCCGAGTGTTGGCAAGAGGGTGCATCGGAGCAGTTTTTGATGTAGTTTTGTAAGATAGGGGTCCTACATACGAAAACCAAACTACTGCTTGGTCCTTAATATTTCCTCCTTTGAGTATGTATAACAAATAAATTGTGAAGTGTATAAAAATAAATGTGGTTGCATTAATGATATTAGCAAGGGGAATTTACAGCCTTCTCTTCTCCCCTGTTTTTTGGCCACTTTTCCTTCTATATTACAACTAAAGAGCAAATTAGAGAACTGAGAAATGGAATTCGTATAACTATAACAGATGAGGAATTTTTTAGTGCTCTTCCTTTTACCTTGTATGCAGGTGTATAGGCAGAAGTTGCTTGGGGCACAAAGCTGAAATCTGCTTCTTGATATGCTTCAACTAAAAGACTGGAGAATTTTTACATGCTGATGCTCCATCCGAGTTGAATTTGAACTTTCCAAAGCCCGAAAGAGAACTCTGTAGAGCTGATCAGTTACCTGAATGGGACAGGCAGTCGGTGTTGCTTTTGGCATTTCCTACTTTGTCATTGAATCCTTTAATAGAAGCTTTGAAGAAAAACTTAGTAAGCAAAATTATCCCAAGCAGACCGAATTAATTAGTGAAGACCAAAATGGTCATTGTGAGTCATCTGTTGCACTTAAACACTTAGGATCATTTGAATGGAGGAAATAATTTTCAGAAAATATATAGCCAGTGACTGGAGGATTCATTATATTTTCTAATCAGTTAGATAAATGCTGTTAGAGAATCTACAGATGAAAGAAAGCATTTACTTTTATCTGACTTTCTTGGGGATCAGATTTCTACTAGAAATTAAAAATATTGCACTCAGCCCTTCAGGGTTGTTTTCTTGTCTAGATTAGAAATAGCGATTTAAACCACTGCTTTGACACTACTGTATGATGTATTTTTATTTCCATATTGTCCTGAAGACATTTTACTTTTAAGTGCCTGTTAGGCCACGCTTTATAGTTAGGAAGTCCAGAGACCAAATTTTTTTTCTGAAAATCTCAAGGTATCTTTTTGAAGAATGAGAGCTTAGCATGGGATGTTCTTTACAAGCCTTTATCAGGCATGTTTCTCAAACCTTTCAGGTCTTTCTACTATAAATGCCCACTTGAAAGACCACACAAGTTTGCAAAGACTTTTGGAGATGGTTATAGGAAGGTAATTAACATCTTTCTGTGCTTAGGGGACATGAGTTTTGATGGTAATTATACACAGTTGATAGCTTCAGTTGGGGGGGAGAGGGTGGAATCTAATAACTGAGAAAGTCCACACGCTGAATTCTTCTCAAAGATTTCTTCAGGCTAGGGATAAAAGCATTACTTAGCAAAGCTGTATCTGTTTCCTGGGCAAATGGAAGCCTTCAGTTTGAAAGAAAATACTGCACTTCCATTAGAGAATGGAACGTTTTCAAGACATGTTAGTTTATAAAGGGTGTTTAAGTGATTTTTGTTTCCAGTGGGGGCAGGAAAGCAAAAAATTTTCATCTGGCCTATTAAAACAATTTTTATTCTTAAAAGCAGAGAGTAATGAATATCTAGATGTAAAGATAAAGAATACCTAAATGTCACTTAAAAAGAACAGTGTGATGCATGGGGCAGTACAAGTCTTATTGAACAGTTGAGTTCCTCATACTTCAGAGAAGCTCAGTAAGTCTCTTATGCAGTGCCAGAGTTTACAGGGGGGTGGTGACAATCCTAGGAATTTTTTTTTTTAAGTCTTGCTTCTTAGAAATATGCAAAAGCAAGGAATTCTTGGTTTTCTTTAAAAACATACAGATTTCCTTAGGCTTGCAAAGGAACGTTTTAAATCTGCTGTTGAAATGTTTAGACCATTTCAGGTTCCAGTCCCAGAAAAAATAAGAGAACACAGCTTTCTCTTCTTTCTCTCCTTTTTTTCCTATTGATTTTATGGGTTTGTAGAATGACAGTTTGAGTACTGCATCTATCCACTGTTCTTTAAAGGAAGTAATTACAGCACACATTTTCCTGTATCCATTGTTATTACAGGTGCCGAGGATGTTGTGATGGCATTTTCCAGATCAGAGACAGAAGACAGAAGACAGTAACTACAGGATACCTGAACAACACAGAACTGGAGAGGGCAGTGAGATTCCTGAAGATAGAGGAGGATGGCTGAGCATTAATAAGTTCCTTTGCCCACCCTAATTGTTCCTTGGTATACCTTCTCCTTTGTATTTCTGTTTCCCTTTGTCCAACCCTCAGAATGCATCTCACAGCCATCTATTCCTGTAAGTTTTTGCCACTCAGCTGGGCTGTGTTAATTAAGGACAAACCTAAAGGTGTCTTTTTGATTGGCTGAAAGGGACAGGCTGTGATTGGCTAAAGAAAGACAATTTTTCAAACATGACCAATGAAAACCTTTTATCTCGCATTTTATTTTATATTTCAAAGAAAGTCTCTTGACATCCTTCTTCTAAAGAAGCTTTTCATGCTGTGGTGCTTATTTAGGTCAAACTTGTGAATTTGAAGAGGGTTTGATTTGGCTGCGTAGAACTGGAAGCAACTTGTGATGGGTTGACAATGCAAACGCTTTCTCTTCAGTTGGCTTGCAGGTATTTTGCTGACTTCGACATTTTCATTGCAGAAAGCTGATGTTTCGGTGCATTGGTTCTTTCGTTATACTTACTGACTTGGGGGGAAAAAGACAAATGTGCTTTGCAATATTTATTACATCTACACACATATAAATGCTTGCTTTTTTGGGTTTGTTTTGGGTTTTTTGATTGGCTTTGAAATCATGCTTTTGATTTCCGATTGGCTGCAGTGTTTCTGATGCAATCAGTTTTTCCATACTCATCTGCTCTGTGGCCTCAAGCTCTTTTGGGAGCATGTGTCGAAAGCATATTTAGTTCAATAAGTCTACCTGGTGAAGCTGGAACATGGAGATCACCAGCCGTTCTGTGCTGCTGCGTGGGCTGTGCTGTGAACTCCTGGCAGACCTGGCTGTTCAGGTGGCTTCTCTCTTTGCTTCTGACAGAGGAGCTGTAGATATTTTGCAGGAATTGCAAGAGTGAGATCTATGGCTGTGACATGAATTTGCCAAATTTGTATAGAGAATATGTGAACTTCTTTAAAATACTACAGATAGTTCCACTTTAACCCTTTAATTGCTGCACAAGACTAGCTCTTACTTAAGGAAAAATTAATGACCGTTAACTTAAATCCAACTTGCACTGGGCTTTAATAAACTAAGTTTCTAGTCACTTGAAGAATTGATTGTGGTTTGGCTCCTTGCAACTGTTCAGTAATATGGAAATTATCTAGATCCTAAGATAATACCATTTTCTTTAGGCACTGTTCCAAGAGGCAGTAGCGCTGCATTAAGCTGTCTGATAGTGAGTGTACAGGTGACACTCTCAGGTTTATTCTCTTAGTAGTTGCAGAGCCTTTAAAACACACACATGCGCGCATTTACACACTGATAAACCTGCAGTGAAATTCCCGAAGTGCACTGACTGTTCAGGAATCTGCACATAATTTCTAGCACTGCTGCCTAAAACCTAGCACTTCATTTTCTCTCATATGTGCAGGTCATTTTTACAATACTTCTAAATTTTCCTGTGGGTTGCACTGACTTTAAGATGTTTCAAAATCTATTAAAGCAGAACTCCATTCGCCTGTTCCTGGTTCCGTTCATGTGGTTGTTAATTACTGGAAGTAACAATTCCAGAATCTGACTGTGACAACATGACCATTTTCATGGCAAGAAATTATGATGACAGGATGCTGTTATGGTCTCAAAATGGGGAAGAAACTTGAGAGAAACCATGGAATGTATGCAAAAGGAAGAACGGACTTGTGAGCACAAGGAGGGAAATTATCTTGAGTAAATAAATAGCGTGTAATGAGAACAACTGTACATCTATTTGTGAAAAAGATCATTTTGATTCAGTTGCAGCTATGTAATGTTCAATGTGAAAGTAAATCTTTTACCCCTGTTTGTTGGGGCCAGATAAAAGAATTTCTTTATTAAAATAAACAAGGAATGAGCCCAAAAGAGTCTTTAAATTTTGACCTGGTTGCCTAAGAGGCACTTTAATTTTAATTTTGGTGCGAAGGGAGGCAGCCCTTAAAGGGTTAATTTAAGGGGATACGTGTGTTTCTGGCTGCTGGCTGGAATGAATGGGCTGGATTGTGGTGGCCTGTCATTGTCAAGCTAACATGCATCCTCCATGTGTATCTATGGCATTTCTGAGCTGTTAAATCTTTTCAAGGAGAAAAGTGAAGTGTTTATGTCGTTTGATCTTTTCACTAAAAATGTAACTGTTGGGGGGAAAAATACAGTTTTTAATAGCTACTCTTGTTTCTTATTGATTTATTATACGGTTAAACTGCCAAATGGAAAATACTTGCTTCACCTTTGTGGAAGACTTCCATGTAGACTCCAAACTTGGACTCTTGAGTAATACGTTGAGAAGGAAATATTGAAAAAAGGCAGTGTGTTGTATAACAACACGGTTTGGGATTCAGAAACTGAAGGAGATATAGTCTCTTGAGAATATTTGTGCTTGCTGTGTTACCTGTGTGCTCTTCCCCTCCCCACTGGTGATTTTCCTAACTTTAAACCAGGGCTGGAAAATTTATAATAAAGAATTCATATATAAATCAGGGAGAAAGTAGTGGAGAAGAGGGCTTTCCAATATTCCCCTTGAATTATTTCTAAGTATTTATCTTCTTGCTATGAAAACTAAATCCCTATTACAACTGTGGAGCCTGGATTAATTGAGAGGTAGAAAAACCTGCACAGGGTACATCAGCATGGTTGACTTGTTTATTGTATGTAGAAATTTCTCTAGCTTTACCTTTGTGCTTTTGCCTTCTTAAGCAAACATTACTAATAAAAATAAGAAATCCAATGTTTTAGGGGCCAAAGGTGAATATAGATCTAAACTGAAATACATTTGTAAATAGAAAAGGCTGTATAGTTCAACTACCAACCAAATAGTGCTTATAGGCATTCAGTAAGGGAGTGTAAAAGCTTTAGAGACATCTTCTAAAAAAGCACACATCCTTTGGGTGGTCTTTTTGGGAGACATGTACCTTTAGATACTCAAAATGTGCTGTTGTATTTCTCTTACCAAGCTTATCATCTGCCGCTCCTAACACAGTATGTTTTCCAGAGCTTGAGGAAAAGATACAGAGCTGAATCAGACACTCCTCGTCTCTCCCCAGATGAGTAGCAATTGCTGTAATTGTCCATCGGTCATTGTGTCTGTGAGCGTTGCCCACTGTAAATGAAAATGAGATTCCACTGTTCACATAGGCCTTTAGATTGATTCTCCCAGGTCCTAAAATAAACCCTGGAGTAACAGAATGTGTGAGCTGGTGGCACAGCAACATTTTGGAAGGAGCTATGGCCTGAAAGAAGCTGGACCTCTAATAAAATAAAATAAGCACTTCAGATTTTTTTGTTCCTATTCCTGTCTGAGGTAAGTAGTAACTGTAAGTTGTCTCCTCTTGGCTGTTCAGCAGCCTGTATGAAAGTTTCTAATGCTTTACCATTAAATCCGTTTCAGTTCCATAAGGTCTGTATTTCTAATTTGCCAGCAGCCTAAATAGTTCTGGTGAAGACCAAAGATTAAATGGCCCATGAAATTCCAAGACCTCTGTCACCTATAGAAGAGATCATCCTAAATAAGCCTTCAGGGTCATATGTAGGATAAATTTCTATAGCTATTGAGAATCTGTTACAAGAATAAAGCAGTGCCGTGTCTAAAGTTATCACTGTTTTATAATTAAAGGGGGGGGGAGGGGGGGAATCAAGGCCAAAAGTTGAAAGCTTTGAATCAAATATATATAATATGTGTTAGAAATAATTTTATGAAGACATACTGAGTTCCTGGGCAATGAGGGGAATGTATGATTTGGATTACTTTAAGGTCAGTCCTTCAACTTTCTTTTTGGTCTCTTGCCTCCTAAAGGACTGTGTGGCAGACCTGACAGCAAAAAAGGCTGCGGGGCACTGGGACCAGCAGAAACCAACAGTGCAGTAAGAACAATTTCTGGAGTTTAAGAAATCTTGAGTTGTATTCAGTCTCTGCAAGAAAAAGAGTCCTTAGTGAGTAAGCATCTCTTCCTTACTGTTGTTCATCAGTAATGAAGTGTTCCAAAGCTTAGTTGTTAATAAAGAGCTTTTGAGCAGTTTTGTTAAAACTGCAGAATAGTTGGGTTTAGGTGTAAGGGTAACAGGAGCACTAAATGTTGCACAGTTGCTGCCTTGGTGGGATATTTGCTGAATGCAGTTGACTTAAAAATCAACTGACAGGGATATGGTATACCTCTAGCCTCAGCGTCAACCTATTCAACACTCGAATGAAACTGGACCTATTTGTTACTCAGCGCTGCAGTCAGAGGTGTATGTTGTATGCAGGAAAAATCCTTCCCTGTGCGCAGCATCAACAGGAAATAAAATTTATTTTTCAATTTCTTCTAGGTGAAATGTTTCAGCTTTATTTTATTTCATCTTCTGCTGCAGAGTAGTGTTAAGGGTCCTGTTGTTAGGCTTGGATGAATTATTTCCATAAAGTTAGGCAAAATGAATGGTCTCGCATAAAACCAGCTTTTAAAGGTGTTAAAACGTGTCAAATTTTGGTAATCATGAGCCAGGCATAGCACTCATGGGTCTTTGCTGGACAGACTTTTTTTTTCTTGCAGCCTCAGGTGTAGCATGATCAGTTTGCTGCAGTGCTTGCATCCTGCAAATTTTGTATCCTGTGCATCTGTGATTTCTTCAGAGCTGCAGGAAATAGGTCAGTGGATTGCTGTGGTTCTTCTTCCAGATCTGCCTTAGACTTGCTGTCTAGATACAGCAAGTCTATACAGACACTTTGCACTACAGTTTCCCCTTAAACCTCCTTGTTGCCGATGTTTTTCACAGTTTTACAAATACAGAAGTGCTGTATAACAGGGAGGAGCATTGTTATTACTTACCAAGGTAAGAGAGGAACTTGGATCTATCCCTGTCAGGCTGTAGGACGTTCCCATACAGAGACAGAAAAGAAATCACCTACTGTCTTCTGAGCTCGACGTTCATTCTCTCTGCAGCTGATTTGCCCTAAGCAGAATTCCTGCAGTATGTTATAAACAACCTGGATCGTTTCCTTTGTAGCCTGAAGCACTTCAATTTTGGGGATTTCTTTTTTTTTTTTGAAGCTTTATAATCTGGCCTGCTTACAAGCTGCCTCATGTATCGGCATGAAATAGTTATGTGCACAGAGCTTTTTGCTGTCTTGACGTTTTCCAGGTTAATTCTCCTTGCTACTAAATGCTGATCTGTGACCAGAGGCCTGTGAAACTCAGAAAATAAACTTTCAGCCTTTGATTAACAATTACAATACTAACTCCAACCTAGACGTGGACTGATGCATCTATACTTTTCTTTAGTTTTTCACCTTAGATGATTATTGCTGCCCTTTTCTGATGCAGTTAGAATTACAGCAATGCCTACAGGGTCAGAAGATGATCCTGTCTGTACCCTTGATGGGAGCAGCTGGAGACACTGAATGCATAGCAAACATGCTCTCCCCATGCGTTGCGCATGTCATGGCTACACAGCACCTGAGCTCCTTGGACCTCCCCAAAGAAAAAGGCTCTTTACCCGCTCTGAGTAACACAGGTGGTTGATAACTATTCTTTTTCCAAGGTTGTAAAATACTTCTGATTAAGTTACTTCAAGTTGGTTGAGCTGAATCCTAAGGTTACATCTGTGTTCTGAGTTGAGACTCTTCCAACATTGGGACCCATTTAGCTAGATGTATGTTTGAATAGGTACTTAGTAGTGCTCTTGGCTTAGCTGTTAGGGTTTTAGCCCCAAGCGAAGAGTTAGTTCCTTGTGTTTCGCTTGCACTGCACACCACTTCTGTTTAGCTAATTTCAAATTTTGGAAGACACAAATCTTAAGTTATTCGGGCATGCAGAGTTTGCTGTTTATACCGTAGTCCACGTGTCACATAAAACACATTCCCATTTTGCAGTGAGGTGAAAGTAATTTTACTACTCTTCTCAGATATGGCTGTAACTCAGTACTCTGCTTATGCTTGCAATATTCCAGCTGATGGAAGAAACATGGATGATTGTTCTGAAAATACCTTTCCCCAGATCAGGGGAATTTTGTGAGATGAGCATGGATAATACAAGTTCATGTGAAGGCTTGATGTAGAGATACATCAGAACAAGAATGGGACTCTAAAACCTTGCTCTCTAGCTGTTCTCCCTATGGGGTTTTGTTTTAAGCTGCCACAAGAGCTTAAAAGTTGCTTTTGTTTCTTGCCCTTAGTCTGTTCCTTCGGAGAAGCTAAATGCATAATTGCCCACAACGGCAGAGCAGCTTGTGACTGGAACTGAAACATAGCTTAATCACGTCTAG